TTTTTTCCCCCTTGTTTCTGCATTAGCAGAGAGGTCATGAATTGTCCCCTGCAATCCACTGCTTGGATAAATGGTTTAGAATAATCTGGTAGCGCCACTACAGAAGAGTTTGCAATCAGGTCCTTTAGTTGTGAAAAAGCTGACTCTGCAGTTGGAGTCCACACTATTTTATCTATCGTTGCCATATCATTTGTATAAATGAGATCAAGCAGTGGCTGAGTAACCTCAGCATAATTGGGAATCCGTATCTTACAGTAATTACACAAACCTAGAAAGCCATCATTTGCTTTTTAGTTTTAGGCTGTGGAGCGTTCAACACCCCCTTTTTCCTGTATGTAGCTTGCATAATTTTCTTGTGGGTTTATTAATTTTAAATTGTGGTTCCGAAATTATAGTTTTGGAGACCCTGCAGACGCATTAGGAAGGCTGTCAATTAGAGCAATGCTGCAGCCATCGCTCCAGTGACATCCCCCCTGCGCGCTTATGCAGATTTAAGCTGTCTCCCTCTAAACTTTGTTTCATTAATTTTTTGGACACACAAAAAACTTAAAAGACCCACAAACATAACTTTAAAGACAGAAACACATAATATTAAAACCGGACAAACACAACATTAGATCTATTTATTTAGGTTTTCATCGTATCTGCTTTGTGCATGTATCATACTCTAACTTCCACTCCTACAAGTATTTTAAATTACTTGGATCAATCTGATACAAACTTTACATCCCCTTTATGATCTTCTCTATACTCTTCCCTGAACCCATCCTTTTTCATTCTTTTACTCCCCTGACTCACTTTAGTTCTATTATTTTATCATTTAGTTCTTATTATTTTATCTTGGAATAGAGGCGTCCCTCAAACCCATATTTTTTCCAAACTATATCTTTAAGTGATTGTTATTTTTTTTGTTGGATCCTGCACTTCTACAACTTCTAATCGTAGATTCTAAATTATCTCTAATTTATTTTGACCTTTTCCCATTTTAAAGAATTTAGTCCAGTACAAACACCTAGGGTATTCTACGGACTGGATGTTTATTCAGCAGGACAGCACCCAAACACTGTTGTGATAATTTCTGCTTCTACCTTTTCAGGTGAGAAATTCTTGCCTCTGCATCCACAAGAGTTATACTGTATTAATTCCTGCTGTTTTAGTATGAAACAACAGAACCCAATGGTTCGATTGTTTCCTCACACACTTTCACACAGTCACACACACCTATTCTAAGGCCTAATATATATATATTTTTTATTTTAACCAACATAGACAAAAAAACATTTATCGTGTACACTTTGGAGTCTCCAGCTCCAGGCCCTCGCACTTCTGCGGCAGCTGCAAACCTTACTTAGCTGTGTTCATATCTTAAAAGAACACAGAGGGTCCCAGACCCAAACGCACAGAATACCGATCCCAGATCTATCACAACAAACCCTGTTTGTCAAATATTCTTGCAACTACAACCAGTTATTGCTTTAACACAGAGGGTCCCAGACCCAAACGCACAGAATACCGATCCTAGATCTCTCACAACAAACCCTGTTTGTCAAATATTCTTGCAACTACAACCAGTTATAGCTTTAACACAGAGGGTCCCAGACCCAAACGCACAGAATACCAATCCCAGATCTATCACAACAAACCTTGTTTGTCAAATATTCTTGCAACTACAACCAGTTATAGCTTTAACACAGAGGATCCCAGACCCAAACGCACAGAATACCGATCCCAGATCTATCACAACAAACCCCGTTTGTCAAATATTCTAGCGACTACAACCAGTTATAGCTTTACATGGTCCCAGACCAACTTTTGATCAAAAGCTTTAGGCCTACCCTTTCTGTGCAGATCAGTCCTCAGCTTGAGTCATCACCAGGATGTCCAGGGCAGGGCTGGACCAACCTATTGGCCAATCCGGCAAAGGGTGGACGGCTGTCGACAGTTGCTTGGCCTTGGTCCCACATGGTCCTGGACAATTGGATCTTGACTCCCGGGTTTTCGGCACCAAAAATGTTGGGTTTTAACCCAGAGAAATGTGAGTTTAAAAGATTAAGAGGAAATGATCAAACACAGACAGGGTTTTGGAAAGTCAACCTCTGCAAAGGGGAGAGAATCTGCAGGCTCCAACATGCACACACTCTCTCTCAGATCCCTTCACAGCAAAGCCTTCTATTAACAGTTTACAACATAATGGGGTGGGCCTTAAACAGAAAACCCAGTAATGATTATCTGGGAGGATGCAGGTCATAAGATAGTGTGAAATCACCATCGGGCTGGAGGTCATAAAAGTTTATGACCCTTCTGATTGAATCACAGGATAGAAATGTAGCATCTTCTTTCTTTCAATGTTTCATATGTCCACACAGTAATTTTATAATTATCACTCTAACATAGTTTCTCAGCATCTGCAGATTATTTAGTCATAAGCACCAGATTATTCTCGAGCCAGTGGGGAGAGTTTTCTAACTTACCTTAGTGTAACTGATTGGCTGATCCTGACCCATTCTTCCTTTGGAACTCTGAGCCTGTCTTTCTCTGTTCTGATCTGTTTGCCTGACCTGACTTCTGCTGGACTCTGCCTGCTAACCAAACTTGGAACAGACTCCAGATTAGGGTTGGGATTTGATATGTTTTTCAAGATTACGGTTCCCTGTGAAACGATTCGATCCCTTTTCAATTCTTTTATCGATTCTGTGAAACAATAAACTTGGTAAGTGCACGGTTACATTCGTCTACCTTCACCTGGGACACTCTATTTCTGACTGCCTCGGTGAAAACAGAAGGCAGTGAGCGGGAGCTGCAGCCTCTGAGCCAGCCAGGCTACCCATCTCTTCACAGTCATTTAAATCTAACGGAGAAGGCATCCATTTAATGAAAAAGCATTACTGTACAATTACGGGAAATAAACTCATCTTCCCCTTAAATAAATGACCGTCACCTTTCTCTAGCTCCTTGAACTGCGGAGCAACTTCGTAGGATGTTTGATAACCCCAAAGAGAGGTAGGAAATTTTATTTCCAGAAATGACATATGATTTACTAGGAGCCACATTAAGCACAGCCAGTGATAGCTAGCTAATTACCACCAGAGTTGCCTTCCATGCTAGTCGTAACTTTAGCTTCTGTCCAGAAGCATCAAAAACATGAAATGCATTAAAATGTATGCCACATTGTGTGCACAGGTGTTTCTGCATGTTGGATGTATTTTCCCCCGCGGATGTAATTGCCACTTTGCAATGATTGCAAAGTGCCTTGTTGCCATCTTTCTCTTGCTTAAAATTAAGCCAATCTTTCCATTGATTTGACCGCTTTTGTTTTGCTTTTCTAGACTTACACCTGGTCATGTTGTACTTGCTTACTGAATGTCATGTTCATAACTTGCGTAAAAAAAACATGAGGTAAGTTGTGCTGCCCAGTGCTGCCTGGAATCGTTAAGAGAACCGTTAAGCGAGCTGCCAAATGGATCCATGGAATTGGAACACACGGAACCGGTTCTGAACAGAACTGGTTTTCGATTCCCATCCAAACTCCTGACATCGTTCTGGATTTACCTTCGGAACGTGAGCCTTGCCAGACTCTCTGCTTCCAAGGTCTCAGTTGGTTAATTCCAGTGTTGGGATCTGGAGAAGTTCCACCTTTCTCCAGCAGAGTTCGCCGTGGATCCTCCTTAACTGAGCCTTCGACACACCTGAGGCGCATCTCATCATCAGGAGGATCCTCCAGTATATAACCGGCCTTCAGACCTTGCCTCAACGCCGCAGTGTTTATCCAGTTTGGTTAGCACCTGAGCCTAGCATCTCCTGAGTACCTTTGTTGCTTCTGTTCCCTGGTTGGATTCTAATCCCTCTTTGTCTCTGCTTTCAGGAATCCAGTTTTCCCTTGTAAGCTCTGGATGAGCTTAACCTGCCGAGCCTGCCCTCTGAGCCAAACCTGAAGACTCTTCTCTGGATCCTCATGCTGCTCTGGATTAAGAGCTGGAAACCCAAAGTCAAGGTCTGCCCTCACACTAGAAGCAAGACGCTGAAGCGGTTACTGAACTCTGCTGAACTAAACAATCCCTGGACCCAACAGTTCCTCTCTCAAAGCCAAACCCGGACTCCTCAAGGTATTAATCAGAAACTCTCAAACTCATCTGCTCCCAAGCTAACTGAACTGTCATCCTCACAGACTCCAGTGAACCTGCCCCCAGGCCTGAACCAGTTCCTGTGTTAAATCCATGTGCTTGTGCTTAAATAAACTTGTTAAACTTTTCATCTGTCTCCGTGGTGTTCTGCACACTGGGCTTTTCTGAAACCCATCATGACATCCAGGACTCACAACCCTCCTGCATCCTTGGACTCAGATACTGTTGGTGTTACCACGCCGACCTTCTGACTCTGAACTTTTTTACTTTTTTTTTATGGGGATAGAGGTGACCTTTTTCCCTTCCTGCCACCTCTTTCTGTTTCCTGTCAACCAGCGCAAAAAATGGTGACCTGAGAAGTTTATATTTGTCTAGGTGGCAAGGCGGACCACCCCTCTGCCATTCCCTGAATTGTTGCTTTCTTTTTTACTTTTTCCCTTCTTCCAGACCCCCTCCTCCTGCCTGGTTTGGGTTGTTTCCCTTTTCAGACACCCTGCCTTCCTTCCCTTGGTCTTATAAGGAGGACTGCTCCAGCTGTGACCCAAATGTAGAACATCTCCAGGAGGAAACGTCTGCTGCAAAAATATCAGACCTGTTCATGACTGAAAGGCAACACAGTTTTATTCACACAGGGATTCTCAAAATGCTTGGACTTTTTAACTAACAGCATAAATGTAATGCAAATACTATTCGGAAATAAATTTCAGCATCAGAATGTTTTACAGGGAAATTTAAGGATGAGAAATGTGTTCCTGTGGAAATGTAAAACTATATAATTTAACCAAAAACTGTGAAATATTAACAGACCAGTAAATGTGAAGTTTTTATTTATTTACAAATTACAATTGAACTCTACACTGAGTTGTTACAGCTGGGTCATAGCAATGATTCTATCTGTTAGGCTCTGCCTGGGTTGGGATGCTCCAGTTTTGCGTAGATCGTTGTCAGATTGTTCCGATCACTGGTTCCTGACGACTCTGGAATATTCTCTTCCTGAAGAAGAAAAAACAGAAACTGGATCAACAACCAGGTTCATTCCTGCTGATCAGTGTATAAAAACCAGGCTGTTTGCTTTTGTGGTTAAAACTGTTGGTGACAAACACAGTATGAGACTAAACAGGAAACATCTTCTCTGTTCACAGTTTAAAATAAATATTAACTTCAGCATTCTGTAATTTCCTGCAACAGTATCTCTATGAGTTGATCTCAGGTGTTAAATAAACCCAGAAGCTGCATCTCATAAAGCTCAGCTGTTTAATATTCAGCCTCATCCACCATGAACAGCCTTTCATTAACGTCAGTCTGCAGGCTGTGACTCTGAGCTATTAACCGTCTCAATGTAAACCCATCATCTAAAAGTCTGGTGGTTTATTAATGATCCCTTCAGACTGAGGATGGTCAACAGCTGACTTACAACAAAGTGGCTTCCCTCATTCAGCGAGAATAAAAATACCGTCCAGCTGTGGAAAAGAGCTGAACAAATGAAAGTATATTTTCAGAATTAACCACGCTTAAAAAAAAAATGTGTTGGAGTATGTCAGTTAGACGTTAATACAATTGAATTCTGTACTGTTATGTTAAAACATGAATATTGCAAAATTGCTGTTTTTTTCATAAAACACAAATCAGCACAGAGTGCTTTTTGTGTTTTAAATAAATCTAAAGTAGAATGCATGCATGACAGCTTTGAACAAAATGATGTCACCATTTCTCTCTTGTCGTGTGGAATTGCCACGATCACTATAGCAGCATAGACGGTATAATATTATGCATAATTGTCATCATGCTTGTTTACTGCTTAGCATATACGCACGGTAACTGTCATAAGTCTTCTCTGCCAGCACTATAATTTATAATCTCATAAAGGTGTAAAAAATTAGAGACAAAATTTGAAAGCATATGTGTGATGCTGGATAATAGCAAGGTCTTACAGCCATAGGAACAATATGTAAGGTTTGTGAATCCAGTCACTATCAAATAATTACCAAGGGAAAAATTTGTGAATTAGCTTTTTTTGAAATTTCCTTCAAAAATGTCAGTCTCCAGTAGTTTATTAGATGCTGCCCTCATCGGCGTAGGCAGACCCATTTCACAGGGGCACATTCCCTGTTGTGGTGCCTGGGGCATTGATTTTTTGATTAATTAATTTTCCGCTCTCACCGCCCATCTTAAAGCCCATCTCACCCAGCTCTGCTCTCACAGCTCTGCCCTCACAACGGAGTTTAGAGAGAACTCTTTAAAATAAGCCAGTCACAATTGATCAACAGCTTCACAAAAATGAAGCCAAGACCAGTGGTGGCTGGGCAATAGAGGGCGCTAGTCCCGCACCCCATGAACCTGATTAAGACATCTTAATCTTATTAAAGCTGAAGTCTGTAAGTTTTAAAAATCACTTTTTTGTCATATTGGCTAAAACTGTCCCTATGCCCAGACAGCAGTACATGTGATATGTAACCTGTGAAAAAAACTGCTTCAATTGGTCCCGCCTACTGCCTGTATTTCAATCTGGAAAGAATAATTCGGGACGAGTCAAGACAACCAATAACAGCCAGAGGAGCGTCTAATGGAGTGTCAATCACAGCTCACACACGCTGAATCCCCCCCCCCCCCCCCCTTCTGGTCGCATGCGGTAGCCGCGCAGATGCTGTGAGAGGGGTGGAGCTTGGAGGTGGGGCATGAGTGAAGCAGAGAGGGTGGGGGAGTGACGTGAAACCTGTTTTTCTTCAAATTTTCAGTCGAAGTCTGCTCTCTCCTCAATGTTACAGACTGCAGCTTTAATATCTTATTTTTTCATAATTTAATTTTAAATTAAGATGTTAAATATTTTGAAATATAAATCTACCAATTTTTAGATGTGGAAGATAAACGTTTAATCTTTGATGACTAGTAAAGCCACATTCAGTTTTTCAGAGGAACAATCCTGCCATAAGAAAGAAAAAAATAAATTATACTGTGAGACATAAATGTTTATATCTCTTTCAATTAGCCCCCCTTTTTTCGCCTTTGTAATAATTACCTTATTTATTTATTGTCAGTTATAGTTGTCAGCTTTATTTATCTATTACTTATTTTTTAGGTATTTATTTATGTAGACATGATAATATTTTTGTCTGTTTTATTCTTTCTTTGTATTTTTTTTACCCTATTTATTTCTTCCATGCTATTTATTTCTGCCTGTCATATTTACATTTCTGTCTGCATTTCTGCCTCATGATGCAAATGAGCAATTTATTATTATCTACAGATTATTAATAACAGGAGGAGAAATGCAGCTCCAGACAAGCTGAGCATGTGGGGACGTCACGAGTACGCCTATGTTCCAATTGATCCAGATTTATGCTGCATTCTCCCAGAGTCCAGACTTCCCTGGATTCTTCTCAAGAACATACTTCGCGAGGACACGAGTCCATACTCGTCGTTCTGACTAGTGTTGCACCAATACCAGTATTGGACGGGGCCCCCATACTGCCCTAAAATGGTGGTATCGGTATCGGTGAGTACCAACAAATAGGGCACAGATACCATTTTGAAAGCCAAAAGTTTATTCAACTATTGTCTTCCATTCCAGGTAGGTAATAAAAAGTTCTACTGGATTCACTTTGTATTATATTTTTTCCTGCTTCACAAAGGTAGTCAGCAGCTTGACAAAGGCATGATGGCAATTATTTTACATTATTATGGTATCGGTATCGGCAGATACTGCACAGCCAGGTATCGGGGCCAAAAAAATGGGATCGGCGCAACACTAGTTCTGACTTCAGACTCGACTTCAGACTCTCTTCTCCTCCTGTAGAGTCGACCGGGCAGAAGTGGACCCTCTTAGACACATCCCTCTTCATTTGCATAATGAGGCAGAAATGCAGACAGAAATGTAAAAACGACAGGCAGAAATAAATAGCCTGGAAGAAATAAAGAGGGTAAAAAAATCCAAAGAAAGAATAATACAGACAAAAATATTATAACATGCACATAAATAAATACTTAAAAAAATAAGTAATAAATAAAAAAGTTGAAGATTATAACGGACAATAAATAAATACCGTAAATATTAAAAAGGCGAATAGATAAAGAAGCTATTTAAAAGAGATACATGCATTTATGTCTCACTGTATAATTTAATTTCTACCTACATCTATTCATTTATTATATTTTTAGGGGCAATTAGTTGTATGCTTATTTATTTATTGAGCATTTATTTATTTCTGTATTTATTTTTTATTATGGCAGGATTGGTCCTCCATATTTTCTTCCCTAGGGTGCAAAAATCTTTGCCCATTGACTCTCGTTAAAGGTTGTACATGTTCAGTAGTTCCTCTGCAAGTTCACAAGTTAGCCAATTCAATTCAGTTTGGTTCTGGTAGATATTTAACGATGCAGAAAATAACAATCTTATTGTACAATTTATTTATGAGGCTTTATAATGATAGATAAGTGCTATAAAATATTTACTCACATGGTTGCATTGATTATCTGTGCCTATGCTTTTTTAAAATAAGTAATTGCCCAAAAAAATTTTCTTTTACATTTCTTTGGGTGCTCTATTATGCCCCTGTATAGTACTGGGTCAGCTGACGCCCCTGAATGCAACCTACTGTTTTAATAAATGAGATAATAAATGATTCATAGCGTAAAAAGATTAATAAGGGCAAAATAGTGGCAGCGCCGTTTTGCACATCTCTTCTCTCTTGCTTGGAAACACAGAGAAAGGTCATCATTATGGCAAAATTAATTGTATAAGGTCAGACAACGGAACTGAATTTACCTCTAATGTGTTTCAGTCTTTTCTCTGTAAAAATGGCATTCGACATGAAACTTCAGCTCCTTATTAACCACATCAGAATATGACAATTGAGAGAACGTGGAGAACTCTATTTGAGATGGCTAGATGCATGCTTATTGAGAGTAACTTGCCAAAATATATGTGGACTTACATTACAAGCAACTGGCATTATCAGAAATAGATGCTACGATAAATGTCTTGGACAAACCCCATATTTTGTGTTGACTGGGAAGAAGCCGGACTTATCCAAAATGAGTGTTTGGGTCAGAGTGTTATGCTTACAAATATGACAAGAAAAAGTTGGACACGCTGTGAAAAATACATATTTGTTGGATATGATAAATACAGTCCAGCTTATTTGGTTTTCTATCCAGAGACGAGAAAAGTAACAAAAAAATATACTTGTAACGTTTATCATATAAAATTCTATTGAATGTGACACTCAGACAGATGATGACATTTATGAACATTATGAAACCAAAAAGAAAGTGGAGATTCCACAACCAGAACTGGATAAGACAAAAGCAATCCCACCTGAAGTGAAAGTAGAGGTGAGTGAGACAAAAGTGGAATGTGACAGTGAGAGCAGTGCTCGTTATCTAAAGAGAGAGAGGAGAGCCCCTCGCTATTATACAGATTGCGACTACAAAGTGAAATGTGATGAAGATCTGGAAGTGACAAATATTGATTATTGCTATCGTGTGACTTGCGATGTTCCCAGGCTTTGAGCTCTTCTGAGTCAGAACAGTGGGCCAAAGCCATGAGAGAGGAAATGGACTCTTTAATAGAGAATAGGGCTGGGCGATAATACAATAACGATATATATCGATCGATAGACGTGTGGCGCAATAGAGAAAAAGAGGGTCGATAAAAGTTTGATAAAAAAGAAACGCAGGTTTCCTTCCTTCTCATTGTAGCCTAGCATGTAGGTTTATGCTAGTCACTGCTTCCTCCCAACCAATCACAATCGCGGACCCAGGCACGTCGTCACAAAGCGCCGCCCTCTTAAACCACAACACAGAGCACATGAAGATGTCGCAGCAAGGAGAGGCTTCCAAAGAAGGGTTTTTGTAATTCGCCAGTCTGGCAGTATTTCAGTCACGGCAAGTCGGACAAAGAACAAACCACAGTCATCTGTAAAATGTGTAGGGAACCAGTGAAAATGAAGTCTGGTAACACAACCAACTTTTTTTTTTTTTTATCATCTCAGCCGCTCACACCAGCAGGAGTACGAGCTGTGTAGGCCCCGACGCGGCTCTCCTCCGAGGAATCTTCGGGAATTTCGGGAAAATATATATATATTTTCAGTTCTGGGCAGTTTTCCACGTAGTTCTAATAATTGAGAGAAAAATGCTGAGGGGCCAGAAACTTCAAAGTAATAACTCAGGTTAAAGCAGGAAACGGGGACGGCGGTGGGGGGGCATTTATTTATTTGTTATATTTATTTTGGTCACTTTTCTGGTCACTTTAGTTTATTCTTTGTCAGTATTTAATAACATAACTCAGGGCTCTTAAGTTATTTTTCTTTAAAACAATTCTGTTATGGTTAAAAAAGTTGGTTAAATAAAGATTTAATTCGAAGTCTGTGTTGTTTTTTTATTAAAATTAAATCATTTAGCAATATTATAAAAAGTCCAGGCAGAGCTGCACATAAAATATGGTTTCAAATCTTTTCAATAATTATCAATATCGATCAATATGCATTTTTTTTTATCGATAAGCTTTTTTTCTATATCGCCCAGCCCTAATAGAGAATGATACGTTTACATTGACAACCTTACCAGAGCGTAAACATGCAGTGGGGGGTAGATGGGTTTATGCTGTTAAAGAAAATCCAGTGGAAACTATTTACAAAGCCAGATATGTAGCAAAAGGTTATAGTCAACTGGCTGGTTTAGACTATAACGAAACCTTTTCACCTACTGCTGATATGACCTCTGTTCGTGTTCTGATGCAGCTTGCAGTACAGTACAGTTTGGAGCTACATCAGATGGATGTTAAAACAGCATATCTCCCTTCCCCTATAGACTGTGAGATTTACATGGAGCAGCCTGAAGGGTTTGAGGTAACATCTGAAAGAGGAGAAAAACTGGTGTGTAAACTGAATAAGTCACTATATGGTTTGAAGCAGTCAGGACGAAACTGGAATAAGATGCTACATGACTTCCTTATTGAAAATGGGGTTTTTTCAGAATACTGCAGACTATTGTGTTTATTGTAAGACAGTTGGAAATGAAAGAATCATTCTGATTATTTGGGTTGATGATCTTCTTCTTGCAGCGAGTGATGTTGAAATGCTCAGTGAAGTGAAGGAAATGTTGGGGACCAAGTTCATAATTAAAGATCTTGGAAGATTAAAACATTTTCTTGGCATTGACTTTGCCCAGACAAAAGAGGAAGTCAAAATGAATCAAAAGAAATATATCACAAAAATTATTGGCAGTTTTGACATGACTCACTGCAAACCACGGACAACACCGTGTGAAATGAAAATTACATTTGACAATGAGGGTGAACCTGCTGATCCTAAGAAATACCGTGAAGTAATTGGAAGTTTGATTTATCTAATGACATCTACTAGACCATGGGCCTGTTTCAATAAGGAAGTTCAACCAACTCTGAGTTAAAACTTGAACTCTGAGTTGACTTATCCTGAGATTGGAAACTCTGAGTTTTGGGTTTCAGAACAGCTGAAATGAGTTAGTTCAATCAACTCTAAATTGACTGACTCTGAGTTAAGCGCGTGCACCACAACTATAAAAAGCCATTATCAATGGAGCACAGATATTACGAGTCACCATGGCAACAGCTTCAGACAAAAAAAGGTGTGCATATTTCTCACCAGCAGAACTGGATGTGCTTATGCAAGCATATGCAGAATTTGAACATGTATTTAAAAAAAAGCAACACGGCTGCAGCGGCGAAGGAGAGAGAGTTAGCTTGGGTGAAAATAGCTGCTCGAGTCAATGCGTAAGTTTACATTTTAATTACTTTTATACAGTGTTGGGTGTAATGAATTAAGTTACTTAAGTCATATAAATACTGTAATTAAATTAAAGACTATAACACAATAGTGGATTTAATATCAAATTTTAAAAGGTATATTTTGATTTGAACTTTCTCCCTCTAGTTACACACTTTGGTCAATTTAAGATTAATTAATGCAATTGAATATTGTTTATTTGAAAGCATTAGAAGTGCAGTTTCTTGTCTCTCCTTGTATTGTTTAAGTGGTTGAGGTTGATTTGGGATTTAGAAAGTAATTAATAAGTAAGTAAAACAAATTAGTAATTAGACCAATACTTTCTAGAGACAGTAATTAATACATTAATCTAATTAGACTTGTTGAAGATAAAATTTGTAGTTAGTAATTAAGAACTATTTTAGAGTAACTTACCCAACTGTTATAATATCAGAGGTGAAACTGGAAGAACAGTATTTTATTAAACCTAATTTAGTTTTCATGGATAGGTGCAATCCTGCAGGCATCAAAAGAACATGGCAGCAGCTGAAAATGAAATATAAAAACATACTTCAAGCAGGTAAGCCTTGAGCACATCATGGGAGTAGAGTAGCTACCTGGCTTTACAAACAGGATCATCCATAAAAGGACATGCCATTTCATTCCCTTTGATGCGCTCTACGTGACTGAAATGTGTGCAATGAATATGTCCCCAAAGAATCAATGAGGTGTTTAAACACCACTTCCTCTTTAAAAAAGGGGAGGAGACCAAAATAAACTCTGGATTTTCTGAAGAAAACCTGCTCCCGACCAGGTTAGGTTCACAGAGTAAATTGCCATGGTAACCGACTCTGAGTATAAGTTACCTGTCTTTCAGAAACGGGCTTGACTTACTCTGCTTTCTCAGGTTTAACTTACCTCCCTTTCTGAAACAGAAAACCCAGAGTTTCCCTCATTTCAGGGTTAACAAACTCAGAGTTTTCACTTAACCTCCTTTCTGAAACAGGCCCCAGATCTAAGTTTTGTTGTTAGTAAATTATCTCAGTACTTGTCTGAACCTAAAAAACAACACTGGGTGGCAGCTAAACATGTTTTGAGGTATTTGAAATGCACTATGGATCAAGAGTTGTGTTTTAGAAAGCAAGATGTGGATTTAAAGCTTGTGGCCTATAGTGATGCTGACTGGGCAGCTGACCAGAATGACAGGCGCAGTGTTACTGGTTACTGCTTTAGTTTGTCTGAGACTGGGCCTGTTTCATGGAAATCTAAGAAACAACCCACAGTTGCTTTATCAACATGTGAAGCCGAATACATGGCTCTATCTGCTACAACTCAGGACAGCATGTACCTTGTAAATCTATTGAAAGGAATGGACACTTTGAACTTTACACCTGTGAATGTTTTTGAGGACAACCAGGGTGCTATTGCCCTATCCAAAACTCGTCAGAGATGTAAGCACATTGACATAAGGTACCATTTTGTCCGCTCTGTTGTTTCTGATGGAAAGATTGTTCTTCATTATTGTCCCACGGATGATATGGTGGCCGATGTTTTTACTAAACCTGTAGCAAAAGTCAGGATGGACAAATTTAGATGTTTTCTATTTTGCATGTGAACAATGGACTGTACTTTTGTAAAATGAAGTTGAATGTACACTTTATGTAATATTTGTCTCAATTAGGGAACAAATGGGGGTGTTGACATCTGTGTCCCTAATTGATGCTGGTATCCACTTTTGGATGTGGCTGTGGCTTCACACCAGTGTGCAATCATCAAAAAATGGCAGCAGCTCATTCACAGAAATAATCACATGCAGGCCAAATGAAATTTCATGTCTCCGTGTCGTTATCTCGCCTTTGCCTTAAACTGGCTGATCAGCTGCACCAACACCATCTACTACCACCATCTGTCCCTGAGGCTCTACCTGCTTCCCTTTTATTCCTCTGATCGCGGAAAACGCAAACACACCTTTAGCACCTGCTTCTATGTCTCTTTATTCAGCACTGAAGCATTAACCCTGGGGGACAGTGGACTCTGAGGAGTCAGGTTACCATGACCTCTGAATAAACCTGCTGTTCTCCCAGCACTGGCATTTCTCTGTGTTCTATGTGAAAAACTACAATCAATTAACTAACAAACACAAGCCTTTGTGAGCCTTTAACTCAGTGGAACAAATTAACCCATCAGTTTCCACGTCTACAGAGTGACTTGAGTCAAACTGGTTCATCTAATAAAAACTAAACTGCAGCTCTGAACCATAAACTTATTAATGAGATTTTAAAACAATTTTTGAACTTTTTAATTCCATGTTTTACATTTAGAACAATCAGTAAACGTTCTGTTCAACAGAACAGAAAAACCATACTTGCATAGTGATCTCTGATACCACTGGTATATAGAAAGAGACATTTACAGTGTGAGGAGAAAACATCACTGTTTCTTATACTGTATCCTGGTAACACCAACACCTTCACCTGAGGGGATTTCTGTTCACCTACCTGTAACTCAGTCTGTCTTTTATCCTTGATAAGAATTGGCGTATATAGGACTTCCGGTTCTTTTGCGGGATCTGGGGAAATAGTAAAGAAAAAACAAAATGAGCTGACGGAAAACAAACTAACTAAACTATAATGTTTTCTAAAGAAAGTAATATCTAATGAAGAAAGAAGGAGCTAAGCAGCAAACCTTGTGGAACATCAGAGACCAGATGGAGTAAAAATACAGAATTAAATGTGAGTCTGATAATAAGAGCTAATCAATTGGTACAATTATTTTCTCTCCAAAGAGCTTAAGATTACACTTAAAGTGACTGAAGGATAAAATGGAAAAACTGCTGCACACAACACATAATATGATTGACCCTCTGCTCTCTGTTAAAATGACTTAAATTGAGAGAAATATATTTTATTATATAACTTCAGAATTAGTTTTAGCAATATTATATTTATGTAGTTTTATTGTTGAAAGTTCATTAAAAAAAAATTATAACCGAGTAATTAAAAACATTTCAAACTTGGTGTAATAATAGCTCTTCTGAGTAACAATATTTTTCTGCTAATCAAAGTTCATCTTATATACTTTAATGTACAGAAAACAAAGGGAAACCTTAAAGGAGCAGATTCTGTCTACAATCAACACACCTCCAACAATCAGTTAAAAATGTCGCAATGGAAAAATGATAAAGGTAGTTTTGGACGGAAATCTCCAAATTATCTCCATTCCAACTTTGAACTAAGTAACATCAAGAAATTAATAGGAAATTCATTTTTAGATTTAGATAAATTCATTAATCCAACCAGGGGCAATTTGTTGCTTTTAAAGTTTAACAGCTAACATCTAATGGATTCACTAATGCAGGAGGAGCAGTATGCTTCCCATTTATTGAACCAGTCTCTAATCGTCACAAATGTTCAAAACCAACATTTCTCTGTTATTTCCTTTAAGATTTAAAACAAGAAACCAGCTGCTCTGTTATTTCCTGTTTCTGCAGCTTTGATTACCATTTAAATGTGGAATTTAAATGGTAAATGGAATTCATTTTTGCAGGACGGAGCAGCATTCATTTAATGTGTGGAGTAAGAAGCAGCTTTGATTAAATATAACCAACATGTTCTGTAGTTGAAGAAAATGGTGATTATAAATGAAGTTGCTTTCAGTCTTATTTCCTCAATCTGAAAATAAAAACAACCCTCAGAGGTGGAAAACCTGCAGAGATCCCTGACTGTAAGGTGAGCTTCTGCCTTCTAGTGCAGACAGGCTTCAATAGACAGGCCTTTTTATTATATGGGCCCCTCAGCATCAGGATGAAAGGAGACATTTTGTGCTGATCTCTGCAGGAAGAGATGCTGTGAAACACCAGGTAGAACATGATAGAACACAGGGACGCCGCCAGGAACTTGGGGCCCAAAGAAAGATATTGATATTGTGCCCCCCCCCCAAAAAAAAATGTAAAGCTTGAAATATGTTTAAAGATGCACCAAAGACTATCAGTTACTTTTTTACATGAATAATTATCTTCTCAAAATAATTAAGGCTTAATTAAAACAAAACACTTAGCTGTATCTATGTACACATCAAAAGAAAATAGGTTTTAGATTTTGAAAATAGGTTTTAGATTTTGAAAATACATTCCTATTAGGTTTCACTTTAACTTTATTAAAGCATAGATTATTTTGAGAACTGATTTTTCATCCATTTTTACATGTAATGACAATAAAACATGTATTTGCAGTTTGCTGTGTTGGCTGCTTCAGGCTGTTCATAAGAAAAGATTCATTGCTAATGGTACCAATAATGGCTGTAATTCAGTTAAATATAAAAATCTAACTGAACTATTTTAATGTTGACAGTGATTTTAATTCAGGCTGCTGGAGGCGACTCAATGTTTGCATTTTACTGTCGAGGATCCAGAACAAACTACTGCAGGATTTTTTTATGTAGCAAAAATAATTTTTACACTGTTATAAACATAAAAATGGCCTAATAAAAATGTTGCTCACCTTCTTCTCAGGTAGGGGGGGTCAGGGGAAGAAACATTTTAATGATGATGAAGGGACAAAGACAATTATTTAATGTAAATATCCTGCTAAACATCTTCCAGCGTTTAGCTGATATTAACCTCCTGATGACTATGGCGTTTTCCTGTTTCCTGGTCTGGTTTGTAAAGGTAAATTCTCAGCTCTGTGGATTTTCTGGCTCAGTTGTTTGGCCTCTGTCCTATTAACAGACACATGATAGAATCATTACAAAGGCTGGATTAATCCTGGTTTAACTTTTCTTGAGAAAAGTTTTTTTTAAATCCTTGCAATCTTTTTTTATTAAAGAAGTCCAGCAGTACTCGACCAGCCGGCATCATCAATGTGATTCTGCTCCAACCTTGAGGAGGATTAACTAAGAAGTTGTATCCAGCAGATATCTAGCTTATTTTATTCAACAGGTTAATGATCTTCAGGTAATTTTAACAATATTTTTTTCTTCCATCTCTCCTATTTCTCCTTTCTTTGTATTTTTTTTTTTCAAACAGACTTTGATTGTTTGGGGCGCTGCATTTTCGCCAGGGACCAAATTTTACAAACCGCTGCTTCTTTTTACTTTGTTTAATTTGTTTTACTCGTTGGAGGGGGGGGGGGGATGTATAGATAGATATATAGATATATATATCTAGCTTTGTTTGAGTGTTTACTGCTGAAAAATCACAGATATCAAAAATATAATTTTCTTTTTATATATGAAAAATATGGCAGGACATTTTTTGGGGCCCCCTGTCACTGAAGGGCCCTTAGAACAGGCTGTAGAGTCATAACTCTGCTGTATTTAAGGTACAGGACTAACCGAGATATTAGCATCAGGATCAATCATTATTATTATCATTATTCAGCAGATCTTCCTAAATAAAATCCCTCACTATTAACAACATTATAATTACATCAAAATGAAATGTTTTTACATGTTGATGCAAAATAAAATATTTCTGATGCAAAAGAATTAGTCCTGCAGAATATTTCACTAACTCAGATTTATGAAAATATAACTATTAGATCATTAAATCAATCTCAGAGAAAGAATAAAACTACCAAACACCTGCCTTGTGTTTGTCTGTCAGATGTCTTTTTGCCCAGATATCTCTGCTTCATCATAAAGGTTATGAAAGCAATAATGATGACAAACCCGACTGAGACCAGAGGTGTGATCCAATCTGTTAGAACAAAACACAATAAACAGTAAAATGTAAGAGAAGGCATAACAAAGAAACATGGATCCATTTTAAAAGTCTGTAATTCATCTTACATATTCTTTTATCACCACTCTCTGTCTTGATGAACCAACAGGAAGTCGTCACATTAACATGTAGAGTCTTGTTTTCTGCAGGGTTGGCTGCTACACATCTGTATGATGAGTCTCTGTCCTGCCTGTAGACAGTGATGGGTAAAGAGACAGCAGAACTGCTCTGGTTCTGGATTTCCTCATCTTTGTACCACATCAGAGACGTTGGTTTGTCCACAGAACAGATCAACCAGCAGCTGTCAGAGCTCACAGTCCGTGTTTCTACTGCAGGAGTCGGAGCAGCATCTGCAGAGATTCAAACAAACTCAGTTAGCTTTTTCAGTGGAAATGAATGGAGATCAAATTATCAGATGTTTTTATCTCTACTGGCCTCATAGTGAGGCTTCCATCACAGTTTTAGCATCACTCTGTTTAATTCCTGTTTTCAGTTTATATTGATTAACCATAAAGCTGTGGATGGGTTGGTTCATGTTTATCTAGAGCAGAGGTTGGCAACCAGTGGCTCCAGAGCCACATGCAGTTCTTTAGCGCCCCCTTGTGGCTCCCTGGTGCTTTATCAAAAATGTATGAAGACAGAAAAAGAGGAATTTGTTTGTGTTAATATGGTGTTCAGGAGGCCAAACAAACATTCATTATGTGTTCCAATGCTGTAAAAATGTGTACAGTAAATACATTTAAACAATAAATGTTAACATTTCTGTCAAGGAAGATTTGCATCATAGCCTGATAACTAAGGTGTGACCTCTGCTGCAGTTCCAGGTAGGTAGCTGTTGTAAAGAAAGTGGTGGGTGTGTCTCAGGCCATGGATCCCAAAGGGAAAAAAGGAAGATAGCTGATGAGAACAGATGATTCAAAGAAGGATGGACTGAACTATTTGCTTTCATTCAATGTGGAAGGATTGCATGCATGTTTGCTTCGTAATGAGAAGTTGTTCAAAACATAAAAAGAGTAATTTGGAAAGACATTTCCAGGGAAGGAAAGCTAAATATGCAGCCGATAACCAAGGTGGGAGTGAGAGAAAAAGGAGAGCAAAGATGAATTTAAGAAGTGGATTGCATCTCCAAACTCCACTACTGCTGCTAGTTTAGTTGCAAGCATAGAAAACTGATAATAGATCGAACAGATAGCTCTGATGCAGGGATAGGAACTTCCTCACAAATCTTTCCCAAAACCGTTAAATAAAAATAACACCAAATATCTGATTTCTTTATTGTATTCTATAATTTCACAAATCCAGAAAAAAACACATCAATATTATAATGGAATTAAAACTCAAAACACTGAATATTGTACAGCAGAGTCACATGATGTGACATTTTCTCAAGGATTAAAATTTAATCGTGTATGTGTATTATATATATAAGCCCACATAGTCATTTCTTAACTGGTAACCTGTATGTAGGTTTTTGAGCCAAAAGATTTTGACAAAAACAGGAAACATCTTTTTCCTCTTTAAGTATCAGACCCAACTTTGGTCTTTACTTGTGTCATTAACAATAATTGTGGGAATGATGGAATACATGAACTTAGGAAAATCAGAGGCAAACAGACACACATATATTTCACAAACACTCACACATCATGATTCAGGAAGGTATAAATATACTGTGATGGGTGCACCATATTCGGGGGCAAAACTGAGATGTCTGATGATGTAGCGCTGAACTTATGAAGTGTTTAAGAATGCTGTAAGCAAGGGCGTAGGAATATGTTTACTATTGGGGGGGACACATGTCGGAAATCTGAGATTCGTATTCAACAGAAACATATCTTAAGTATGCTACTTAAAAAAAGGCTATTTAATCTTTTACTTTATTCCTTTATAAATGTGTCTTGCAAAAATAATGCATTTAAAATTTACATAATGCATTTGTTCATAAGATGTGAGCATATCACCAAACAAAATGACTGGAGTCTTTTATTAAGCAAAGGGAGATGTCTTTCAAGGGCTTCAACCCTTAGCATATTTAGTGTCCGCATACGCACTAGAAAATCAAATATTTCAGTTTGATTAAAAACAATTCACTAAGCCACACATGTGCAAAGTTTGATATGTTTTATTTTGTCAAACTTGCTATAATGGTCAAAAATGAATTTATATAGGTTGACTGACAGAGGGAGCTGACAGTGTGGTGAAGAATTATGGACAGGGTGCTTTGAAGCATCTGGTTCAAAAACGCATTATCAACCTTTGGTAGAAATCCATCCATCCTTCCATTTTCTGTACACCCTGTCCCTTAGTGGGGTCGGGAGGTGCTGGTGCGGGGTACACCCTAGACAGGTCGCCAGTCTGTCAAGACCTTTGGTAGAAATGGCACCTTTAATTCCAGTTTGCAGTACAGAACAGAGAAAACTACAGAGTTTTCAATGTTGTGTTAATCTGTTTATCGTCTAAAAAGAGGAGCCAGCAGTTTATTTGAGGAAATAAAGGTGCAGAAGTTAATTAGTTGGTTAATTAGTGGTTGTGCAGTGGACTGCTGCACAACCAATGCGACCGCCGCTGCTAAGAATTAAAATTAATTCTCCCTGTGGTTTTAACTAACGATCAGGAGCGCGGCAGGTATAACATCTGTCAATTTCGGCGAATCAAAACCACGCAAAAAAGAAAAAAATCCTCTTTAAAAGCACGCCCAGATCGGGCTAATTTCAACACAAGTTGTGTAAGGTGACTGTTACTCACACTGACGTTTCTCTTTTTTAAAAATCTGAGTAAGTCCTACTGCTGTTTCAGCCTTTTAGTTGGTGGTGGCATTGTACTGAAATGAGATATATAAAAAAAAAAAAACATTTTGGCTATTTCTCAGAATTCTGACTTTTTTTCTCAGAATTTTGGATCTTAATGTAGATGGTCACCATGAAGGAAGAGATGTGGAGCACTCAGCTTCACTGACAAAGATGTGAGTTGTTTGAGGTGGCCAGTGACACATTGGTGGAAAATGACGGAATTAGGCAACTTTTTACGTGCCCGTGGGGTCCCCTCATTAATGGAGGAGCAGAAGAGAGCTAGTCTCTAAAACAGACATGGCTATGGCTGGATGCTAACATGTTTGTTTTTAAACATACTTTTGTTATATTACATTTGTGTTGTGTTTTCCAAATAGTGTAGAAAATGAATGGTGGGTTTATAATGTTTACCTTTTATGAGCAGGACAGGAAGCAGAGAAGTGTAGCATTACCTCCAACTAGTTAAACTCATAATTATGAAGTTATTCAACAAATTCCTCAAGTAAAAAAGTGCAACTTTTATTTTTTATTTCTTTTTGTTGTTGTTTTTTTACCAGATTTGTTGATTAATTTCAAAATTATGTATTCCTTCCAAATTTCCAAATCTGAAGAATTTTTTAAACCAATATCTACATTATTTAACATTTAGTTTATGTTTTAGCAGTACTTCCTGTTATATTTCTTTATACGTATATTTTACATTTTCTTGCACAGCAAGCTCAGCAGATTTGAAATTGTGTGCTTGTGTAAACACTAGTCAATCTTTACTCTAAACATATATTCTGGTTATTTTTTAGTTAGACCTACTTGTTTTTATGTATCTGTATAAGTACCCCCCGAAAAAAAATAAAAACTGTAAATTGATTAGAAAAATTAATCTGTCAGATTTCTGAGAAAAAAGTCAGAATTATGAGATTAAAGTCAGAATTCTGAGAAAAAAGTCAGAAGAAAAAAGTCAGAATTCTGAGATTAAAGTCAGAATTCTGAGAAAAAAGTCAGAAGAAAAAAGTCAGTATTCTGACTTTTTTCCCCATGTTAAACAAAAAAAAAAATGTAAAATCAGTTAACTTTTTTTTTCCAGTGGCCCTAATCCTCTTCCCTACAAGACTAAGATGACTAAACCAAAAAGATTCAGTTTCTATATATGAAAGTGAACTGACAACAAAGACGTTTTAAATGGGCAATATTCATAGCAGCATCCCGACAGACTATTTTACCTCTTTCACAAGTTTCTGATTTCTGTGTCGCCGTTTCCCTCCCTGCTGACTGAGTGCTCAAACACTCAGCAGTTCAGAGAGGGGAGGGGGAGTACAGTGACGTAACGCTATGCTGCGCCTTCAAAATAAAAGCACGCTAGATAAAAAAATGTCAAAATCTAATATTTTGCGGTACAATTTTTGGGGGGGACATATCCACCTGGCTTTTATCGTCCCCCCCGCTTCCTACGCCGCTGCCCATTGACTCTCGTTAAAACTTGTACATGTGCAGTAGCGCCTTTGCAAAGAGAAAGGATAGGAGATCTCATGGCACGGCTCTCCTGCTCCCACAGCTGATAGGAAGTGTATTTGCTCACCACTTCCCGCCACAGTGCTGACGTCACAGTCGTACTTATAAATTGTGGCTGATTGACAGGAATATGAAAGATTCTGCAGATATATTTTTTATACATACATTGTTTAGACTTACTTATATCTTTCTACCCCGTGAATAGAATAGCAGCTTTAATTTAGCCCTAGAAGGACTATTTAAATCGTCCTAACCCCAGCGCAGACAACAACTACCTCATGCCATCTCTCCCCTGCTCTGGCACTCTCATTCCTGGTTTCCTACGATGTACCGCTGTCCTCTTCATGGCCAGCTGCAGCTCCTCTCCTCTGCCTTTAGCTCTTTGCCTACCCAGCAGACTTATCTGCAGTTGGCCTCTGTAGCTTAGCCTCGTGAGACCATCCTGATCTCGCGAGCTTTCAAGGTTTCACTCGCTAATCAGTCTGGCTACTTTCCGTTGAAGAAAATTTGGAGCCGTTCACCAAACGAACGTCCAATCAGCGTTGCATTTGAAGCGGGTTGAGGTGTGACGCAACGAGAAGCGCGACAGTTCAGTCTAAAGAACATGGCGGCTTCAGCCGATGAAATTAGCGTTAGCGAGCAAGTTTTATCGGAATTACAGAGTATTTCTTCACTGAAAGAAGAGCAAAACACTGCTCTGGAGGCTTTTCTCAGAGGAAAAGATGTTTTTGCTCTTCTCCTGACTGGTTTTGGCAAGAGTTTGATCTATCAATTGGCTCCTCTTCGTCGTCACTCTGTTACGTCATATGCTTCGTTGATCTGATTGGTTTATTTGGCCCGTCTATCACCAACATAGGCCAATCAGCTAACCAGTATTTTCACCTCTTCCCAAAATTACTTCAACGGAAGGTTTCCAGATGGATATGCGGAGCAAATCCATCTGGCGGAGTCAGGTTATCTGTAGCTACCCTGCGTCAATCGTAGCTCTTCCCCCACCTTCATTCCTTTTTTTCCCCAGCAGGTTTCTTTGATTGACTGCTGTTTTTCTCTACTCT